AGTCTCTCTGTGACAAAGTTGTGCATCACTTATCACTTGCAGACAATGTTATAGACAAGAGTTTGCACACTAATTACGATAAGCAAGTGCCTGAATTCTAGGCAGAGATTTGAAAATAATGGTCTAGACTACACCCCTACCACAACTCTCACCAAAAGTTCAAATCCACCTTAATTACTCAACCTACCATTCTTAATGCTATAGTCTTGTTGAATAGTATGTGCTTCCTTAGGTATAAGGGTGGCAATTTTTGGCACATGCCATTAATATGACATAAATGGACACAAATTAAAAGGTTAGTGTTAATTAATTATGGACATAATCCCAAAATGGCACACCCACTAACACAAATAACAATTCGTTGAGTCAGTATCAAACCTGAATATTTAGACTTTGATACAACAAGCTCATGTAACTGGTATTGTATAAAGGCAATTTCTGGTTTTTTTTTTCTTCAATTTCTGGAATCTCTGTAGAATTAGATTATTTTTTTATTTAATTCTGTAGATGGACTTATGGATGATGGGTTTCATTAGAGAAAGTGGGGTACCAGTTATATATTTCTAGTTTATTAGTTATATAATGATTAAAACACAATACGACTAATTAATTGATAGGTTAGTATTGTATAAATTTTATTATGATTGATTAATACCCAACATAAATTCGAAATGATAGGATGAAAATTGACTTGAATAGATCGACACTACTATGTTTGAGAGGGAAGGGGGGGGGGGTTGTTGTTTGTCCCAAGATTGAGCATTTTATAATATAAAACATGGTAAAGTTTAATAAGTTCATCCAACGATCTTAAATAGACTTATTCAACGGCTACCAACATCGATTTTAAAACTATTCACATTGAATTTCTCTCTCAAATTCATCACTTCTCACTTATATTTTATTGTGCTTTCAAGCACGAGTTACCTCTAATTACTTAAAAGATTGAGCATTTGCATCATGAATAAGGACAAGGAATATGAGTTTGAAAGGTGGGTTTTTGTTTTTCCCATGGTATAAACAATGAGAGTGATTCTTATCAAGAGGATCTTTTGGGCATATTATTTTGTTCTAAGTTTGGTTTGGACCACATATATATATATATATATATATAAAGTGGGACCTCAAAGCTATTGTAATGCATTACTGGCCGTTGCCAATATACGCATTGGGAGTGCCTACAAGAAGCGACCACAACCTATAAATTTTAGTTTGTCTTTTCTTTTGTCCAAACTATTTCATTCATTGGTTGAATTTGATTATAAACCCTTTTTTAACAACTTTATGTTTCAAATTATGCCCCATTTGAAATATCAACTGGGACATCAAAAAAAATACGATAGACAAGAGAATGATAAAAAGAAAAATAATACGCCCTTCTAATATATGTAAAAATAGGACTCTATTTGTTTAGCAAGAGAATGATAAAAAGAAAAGAAATAAAAAAAATTATTTTTTATGCATTTGTTTAATAAGATCATATATTTTTTAATTGCGTACCTTTTTTTTAAGTGAACCTTTATTAAGTTCAAAATTATATAGGGGGACCATGGATCTGTCCCTTTAAATGAATTAATTAGGGCATTTTTAACCTTTACTCAAATTTAAATGAGTAAAAAAGTTTAAAAAACTTGCTCAAACATTTGATTCAAATTTATACCAAATCAAGGAAAATTCATTTTTTTTTACTCAAATCAATGGAGACTCAAATCTTTAATGGTGAGATTTCACCATCTTTTAAAGATGCAATGGTCATCCTTACTCCTTGTCAAATTTGGGTTTGTTCTCATTTAAATTTGGGTCTCTCATTCTTTAAATTTGAGTTTGTCCATTACAGTCATTTATATCAAATCAAATTTTTGACTTAAATGTTAATTTAAATTTGAATAAAAATTTGAGTCATGGATGGAGANTTGACTAACAATATTGGTAGAAAGTAGAGAAGGGGAGCACATGTGGCGGAGAAGGATGTGATATTTATGCAAAAAGATGAAATAAGCTGATAAAGAAGAAGCAAACAAGCACAATGTAATATTCCCAACCAGAATTGTCAGTGTCACAGGATACTCAATACGTATCTTATACTACTTGTCTTTATGGCGAAAATAGGATACATATCAGCACATTGTATCATTTTTTCATTATAGCATACGATGCTTGCAATACATTTCAATACAATGAAAAACGAAATACTGTGTATTTTTTTTTAACTCTAAACAGTGAAGTGGCATGATCATTTTTGATACTCCAAACAATGAAATGATGTCGTTTTGCATGAATTTTTTTTTTAATCTGAAACAGTGAAACAACTACGTTTCCTATAGGTTATTTTTTTCTTTTTTGGTTTGAGCACAAACAGACAAAGGCCTCAACATTGTCACCTTCTTCTGCGTTTATCTTCTACTTCTCATGCTTCTTATTTTTCTTCAAACCGAAAAAACCCTAGCTATATTTCGATCTTTGTCGCAAAAACTAAGGGTGTTTCTCTTTCGATCTCTGTCACCAACATGCATCGAGATGATAAATGAGTTGAAATGATATTTATATTATTTTCGTCACTATATTACTTATGATTTAAAGGTATAGATATTAATATGTTTGCTTTCCGAAATTGAGGGTATTTTATGAAACACGATATATCATTTTTACAAAATGGTACATGTTGCGATGCACAATTGACAACCTTAGTCCCAATGCCCCATCAATTATGAGTGAGGGTATTAATGGTGTCTAAAGGAGTCTAGAGTTGCTACCCCTTTCTCAGCCAAAATATATCATCCTTATTCATTCGTTGGTGGAATAAATTTATTTTAGGCTATATTTTAAGTCTTTGATATGCCCTGTGGGTCCTTGTCGGTGGGCAATTTTTTCGTCAGTCCAGCAAGATAAACAAGTTTGTGCAATTTGATGATGAGCCTAAAAGGAAATCCAGACAGCACTGTGCAATTTGATGATAGGCCTTAACCTCTGTTGAGGAAGACCTCTATGTGCATCGCAATAATGTGGACCTAGGTCACCAAGAGGTGCTTCATGCAAGGTAATGATTGTTTTAGTCTGCCTACGTTTGGGACCCGTGGTAGCTGTAATACATATCCCGTTGGCAACTGTGTTACAAAATACATAATTTGAGTTGAGGTTAGATTGAGAGAACAGTTGTCAAAGAAGAACGTGTAAGAGAATTGTTTTGGACAGAAGGTGTAAAAGAATTGTTTTGGACATCCAATTTACGTGCCTTTACAAAATTTTGTTCTGAAATTAATTTAATAGAAATTACTTTGTGGTAATAGTCCTTCTCCTACAGCCATACAATAAGTAGCCATAAATAATTTTCAGGTTACCTACAGAAAAAACTGGGCTTGAACTCTGTGTTCTTGGGAGATACTGGTGCTTAGTCAGTCTTTTGGGGTCTAGAGTGGTGATAGAGATAATAGTTATGAAACTAGCATGCTTTTCAATGTTATCGGTCGTTTTGATAGTTTTAGTTAGGTACAAACCATATAGCTATATTCCATCTTCTGCATTATTTGTCATTCATCCTTATCCATCGACTAACTATTTCCTGCCATGAAGTACTGCAGAGATGATATTCGTTCAATTTTGTTTTCATGTTTTTTTGGCATGTATGTATTTGTTTGCCAATATCAGAACAACATGTTGCATTCTGAACAATTTTCTATTACAGAAATTGGATTTTAAGTTTCCTTTGACGGTGTCATGCATACACTTTATATGCTCTGCTATTGGCGCATACCTGGTCATCAATGTTCTGAAGCTTAAGCCCCTTATTGCTGTTGACCGTGAAGACCGCTGGAAAAGGATCTTTCCCATGTCATTTGTGTTTTGCATTAACATTGTGTTGGGGAATGTGAGCTTACGCTACATTCCTGTTTCTTTTATGCAAACTATAAAGTCATTCACCCCTGCAACAACAGGTATGATTGTGAATTGTAATCTTGTAAATTATCGTTGTTTAATTGTGTCATTCACGTGATTATACTTTAATCCATATAATCCGGCATGGAAAACAGTCGTTTTGCAGTGGCTAGTATGGAGAAAGTACTTTGACTGGCGAATTTGGGCTTCTTTGGTCCCCATTGTTGGAGGAATTCTTCTCACTTCTATTACAGAGCTTAGTTTTAATATGTTTGGATTTTGTGCTGCTTTATTTGGATGTCTTGCTACTTCTACAAAGACTATCCTTGCAGAGTCCCTGCTACATGGTTTCAAGTTTGATAGGTATTATCCTCCTTCACCTCCCTCCTCCCTCCTCTCTCCTCCCTCCACTTGAAAAGAATCATGGCTGTAGCAGGAAAGGAGAAAACATAAATTTATTCTGCAGTCTGGTTCTTGAGCCCTTACCTTCCATGAGGTTTTTAGTAACTTGATTTGTTGTGATCTTTCCTGTCAATCTTGAGTTTGAGTCAGGCTATGTCTGTTGCATCTTTTGGTTTTAGACTTTTATAGGTCAAATTATGCAGTGAAGTTTTATAGATGTCATTTCATCTTCATGCTGGACTTCTGTACAATTTTTTGCAAGCTCACATGCCATAAAAAAGGTATAGCACGCTTTTTGCATGCATGTTCACAATGTTGTGGCTGGCTCATTGTTCGTTTTCTCCCTTAGCTTAAAATGGTAAGTAAATATAGCCATTCCTAATTCAATTGGTTTTGGGGTTTTCCGTTTGCTGGTGAGTGTGAATAAATTGTTTATTCATGCATCATTGAAGAGAGGAATGTTATATTTAGAGCTGTTTGGTTACTTTCACAGCAACATTGAACTTGTTTAATGCATATGTGAGAAGCTATGGAAGCAACCAAATAGCTTTGGCAATAATGTTGTTCTGCATATTTAGCAGCATTATTCACAGTGCTGTATATTACTTTGATACTCTTTAAATCGATTAATAATGTTTTAATTTTACAAGGTTAGTGCTATTGCCAAAATTGTTTGGTTTATTGCTCCAGAATATCAAACAATATCTGCAATGTATAGGTGGGCAGCTGCAGAAGTAGCAAATAATTTTGGCAATATTGTTGTTTATCATTTTAAACATGAGCTCATCTAGGCTTACACATGGGCTTATATAGGCTTACGTGTTGGTAGATAGCCCTATTAATTGTTAAGGATGACAAGTTTATTGGTTCCTTCTCCATCAAAAGCTTGGATAATCCACAAATAAAATGGTGGTCTATTGATTCCTAATCTGGGGTGTTTGTATATGTGTATTTAAATAAATGTTTCACATATGTATAGAAACCTCATTTTTTTTAGTTTTAGATACTATTAGAGAAAATTAATAATCATATCACACAAAAAGAAGAGTAAATCATTGTCAGGACTATCATCTTACTTCCTAAATCAAATAATTTGTTCCCGCTGTGGAAACAAGTGTATTGCTTTGGCAATAGTATTGTTTATTCAGTATAAACACATTTAGACACTTGCAGTAGCAATACACAATTAGTTAACTCTATTAGGTGCTGAAATTGAATGTTTTATGTGGTTCCTCCTTTGTTACGGGATTTGATTTGGCACGAGTAATTGTCACTTAAAAAATAAATAAATAAAAAGATCCTCTCAAACAAAGCTTTAAAACTATGTCAAAAGAAACTTCAATTCATTGAATGTTAGCTACGTTTAGTGAAATATGGTTTTTAATTGTATGTAGAATAACAAAGAGTTACTTTGAGTCTGTCTCTACCGGTGAAATTGAATACACTAGGAAGTAGATGGTTACTCATGAGCAATAGGTTTCCATGGATTTTCCAAAGGTACAAATTGATGGCCTTGGTGTCCCATTTGTTGGATGTGATTTGAATCTGAGTATTGGTAATGGGATTACCACAGTCAGTGTTGTTCCAGGGAATTTAGAGGCTATAAGAGCATCTCCCATAGTTCTCTCTATTTTAGAGAGATCTTTTTNCTGGTGTCCCATTTGTTGGATGTGATTTGAATCTGAGTATTGGTAATGGGATTACCACAGTCAGTGTTGTTCCAGGGCATTTAGAGGCTATAAGAGCATCTCCCATAGTTCTCTCTATTTTAGAGAGATCTTTTTTGAAATAAAGAGCGAAATACTTCTGATAACTCCAATGAATTCTCTATTCTAGTAAAAAAAAATAGTCTTATANTTTGAAATAAAGAGCGAAATACTTCTGATAACTCCAATGAATTCTCTATTCTAGTAAAAAAAAATAGTCTTATAATCAATAATATTTAATGAAGACTGTATATGTGTGATTTTGTCATTCATTAAACATATAATAGATAGTGAGTTGGACTCTCTAAATGTAAAGAGTCAAGTAAGACCCTCTATTTTAGTTAGTCTAAATAAAAAGTCTATTGGAGTTTGATTTTTGGTGGCTAGTTCTCTTAAATAGAGAGTTGAATGAGAATAGAAAACCTATTGGAGATGCTCTAACCACTAGGGTTATTGTGTGTCATGGTGGGGATGGAATGGTGATTGTTTAGGGATAGTAGAGGATAATAGTGGTGCTAATGACTATTTTGTGTCTAATGAAGAAAAATGGGTTTCTTGAAGAATCTTGAAGAATTCTCAGCAAAAAATGGACTTGACTCTAGTTCTAACCTAAAAGAAAGGTAAAAGTAATGCTGAAGGGAGGAGGAGAAAGGGAACTAGAGAAATGAAAAATTTATATTTAGGGATAAATTATGAGGGAGGGAATTCTTGAAGGGACGAGGAGAGAACGTTAGTTACTTATGAATATTGTTAGTTAAAATGTAAGAGGGTTGGGGTCATGGAGAAAGAGGAGTGCAATTAAGGTTTTCTTGTTTAGAATTGGACCTGATATTATCATTTTGTAGGAAACTAAATTGGAAATGATAGATGTGTTTGGGGGTCTAGGTTTAAAAATTGGGTGTTTCTATTGGCTAGGGGTAGGTCAGGAGAGATTGTTATAATATGGTAGGAGAGGTTTGTGAATGTGGAAGATGAGGGAGCTTACATTCTCTTAGTTAGAGTTAGAAGTAGAGATGGTTTTGATTGGTGGCTTACAGGGGTATATGGGCCAAATAAACCCAAATTTAGAGCACTATTGTGGGATGAGTTATGAGGCTTGTTCGGGTTGTGTAATCGAAGATGGTGCATTGAGGGAGATTTTAATGTAATAAGATACCCAATATAGAAGTTGGATGTGGGTAGAGTTATCAAGACTATGAGAGATTTTCATAATATTTTTTTAGGGAAATTGAACTTAAAAGTCTTCTTTTAGCTAATGGTACCTTTACGTGGTCTAATTTTAGGAGTTGGGTGGTATGTAAGCTTTTGAATAAGTTGTTATTTTCGGGTGGGTGGGAGGATTGGTTGAGTGAGTCAGACAGGAGGCTTTGGTTAGAATTCTTTCAAACCATTGACCTATTATCATTAAGGATTCCAAGTTTAGATGGGCTATTTAGGTTTGAGTATATGTGGGTGGAGCATGTTGATTTTAAGAGAAATATTAGGGAATGGTGGTTTGAAGTAACGATTAAAATTTCATTTTGAAACGTTTCGTTTTCAAGGAGAACGAAACGAAAATCGAAATTTTAACATTTCAAGGTATTCCCTAATGTTTTAGAATGTTTCAAGGTATTTCAAGAGATTTTGATATATTTCGACTAATGTTTTGAAAAAAAAATTCTTAATTTTTTTTTCATGCTTTCGAAATAGGTTGAAACGCTTTTGAAATACGTCGGAATATTTTTGTTTTCTAAATGATTGAAACAGTACATCAAAACAAAATTTTGATCCTTGGTTTGAAGGGGAGTTTCATGGGTAGAAAGGGTTTAAGTTCATTAAGAAACTCGAGTTTATAAAGCAAAAGCTCAAGGTGTAGAACAAGGAGGTGTTTGGAAATGTTCAAGAAGTTAAAAGGATTATTGAAAATAGGATTGGAGAAATTGACAGACTGGAAGGAGAAGTGGGAATAAATGAAGTTCTAAGAATGAGGAGGAGGAACTCAGAATAGGTTTGAATAGGTGGTGCATATAGAAGAAGTTAGTTGGACACAAATGAAATGGGTGAAATGGGTGAAAGAGGGTGACAATAGCTCAAAGTTTGATAATAACTCAAAGTTTTTTCATTGGGTGACTATTGGGAATAGGATGAAGAAAATCATTGTCAAGCTGGAGTTTGATGGTGGTTTGATTGTGGAGGATGAGATATTAATTGAGAGGGAGCTTGCGCATTTCTTTGCTAATCTTTATTCTTCCCAAGAGCATCTTAGACCTATTTTGATGGGGTTACAGTGGTGTCCCATTGGTAGGGGATAACGCTTCATGACTGGAAAGACCTTTGAGATTGAGGATGTTAGGAGAATTGTTTTTTTATTGTAGTAAAGGTAAAGCTCCTGATAGTTTCATTACGGCGACTTTCTGGCATGCTGGGAAGAGGTAAATGATGATTTGATGAGGGTGTTTGGAGAATTCTATCATAACAGAGTGGTGAATGCAATTGCTAATGCCACATACATTTATCTTATTCCACAAAAGTTAACTTGTTGAAATTGAAGAATTTTAGGCCTATTAGTTTTGTCACTAGTTTGTGTAAGATTCTTGCTAAGATCCTTTCACTAAAGCTTAGGGAGTGCTTAAGTAAATTACTTTTTGGGGAGGTTTGTTTGATATCCAAAAATTGCTCAACAATAATCGGACAAGTGGGGGAGTGCTTAAGTGAGACTATTTCTTTCTTTCAAGGAGCCTTTGTAAGAGGAAGATAGATTCTGGATATGGACTTGTTGCCAATGAGATCGTAGATGATTATAGAATGTGGGGTGAGGATGGTATTGTGATGATAAATGATTTTTAAAAAGCCTATGGTCATGTTAATTGAAAATTTTCTTGATTTCATTTTGGAGGCAAAAAGGTTTGGACGAAAGTGGAGGAGATGGATGAAGAGTTGTTTGGAGTCTATGAATTTTCTATTATGATCAATGGGCAACTAAGGTGTAAAGTAAAGGCCTCTAAAGGGCTGAGACAGGTAGATCCATTATGCCCTTTTTTGTTTACATCGACTTTGGATGGGTTGAGTAGACTTATGGAGAGGGCAACGAGATGTAATTTAGTTGATGGATTTGTGATTGGTGGGGATATGGTTAGTTTCTCATTTTCAATTTGTTGAAATATTATTTTCTTCTCCTCGGGGATGAGGAGAAGGTTAGAAATTCAAAGAAGACCGTTGATATTTTCGGGATTATCTCGGGACTCAAGGTTACCTTGAGAAAGAGTATTGTGGTGGGAATTAACACTGGTCGGGATAAGATTGACAGGCTGCTGCTGATATGGGATTTGTCGGTGGGTGGCTTTTGAAGTATTTCGGGTACTAGTTACCACTAGGTGGTAATTCGATGTATAGGACTTTTTAGTATCCAGTCATTGAAAAGGTTGGGAAGAGGTTAGATGAGTGGAAGGAAACTTTTATTTCTAGGGGTATAGGTTAACACTAGTTCATTTTGTTTTGGCTAGCATTCCTATCTACTACATATCCCTATTTAAACTAATAGTTTTGGTTGCTTGAAAAATTGAGGGGATGTTGTGAAATTTCTTATGGGAAGGAAGGGGAGATGGTTGGAGGGATCATTTGATTTCTTGGGATATGGTGTCTAGATCTAAGGCTAAAGGTGGTGTTGTGATTGAGAATTTATTGAAACGATTAGTTGGGATATGGCCTTAGAGGTTCCTTTTGGAACAAGATGTATTGTGGTGTTCAGTTATTAGGAGTAAGTACGGGTTATTGGCTAATGATTGGGATGTCAATGGGGTTGATAGGGGTAGCTTTTGAAGCCCATGGAACTTTATTTCTCAAGGGTTATTTCTTTTTCCGGCTTAAGCTCTCAGTGGGTGATAGCTCTTGTATTCGGTTCTGAGAGGATTTATGGGTAGGGGAGTCTTCATTTTCTATTCTTTGTCCTTGTCCTTGTCTTTATTGACTCTTTGGGACTCATAGGAAAAGGATTGCTTCTCTCGTTCGACCTATTTCATGGAATTTTGGTTTTCTTAGGAGTCTTAATGATAGGGAGTGTGAGGGGTTGGTGAACCTTCATACTTTCCTGAATAGTGTTTTCGTCACCTATGATGGTGTGGACATTAGACGTTGGACTATTAACTCTATACGATGAGTAATGAGATTTTGAGCTAAGCCATCGCTAAACCTTGAAAATCTTACTTCCATAATGCCTTTCAAATCCTTCTAGCCATTATCCTACTGCAATAATTCTTCCTAAGAAGAATGCCCATGTTGTGGCAATTCCATCCATTGTGATCAAGGATCAAAATTTTGTTTCGATGCATTATTTTGGTTTCTTAGAAAATGAAAACGTTTCGAAAACAGAATGAAAAAAAATTAAAAAAAAAGAATTATTTTTCAAAACATTAGTCGAAATATACAAAAATATTTGAAATACTTTGAAATATTCCAAATATAACAAAACATTTCGAAATATTATGGAATATCTCGAAGTATTAGAATTTCGATTCTATCACTGATTCGTTTCGGATGTTTCGACCGTTTTGAAACGATATTTTGATCATTGATTGTGATTATGAGTTGAATGTATAATTGTCCAAGTGATAATGATAGTATCTTGTACCTGAATCGGTGGCTCAGTTTTCAATTTCATTGATCTCATAAGTATCATACCAAATCCCATTTATTTATGTTTTCTGATGTAAAACTTACTTGGAGTCTTTAATTTATGATCCTTTTATTCCTTTGTTTCATCTATCGAGTGCGGTTTGGGAAGCTAAAGTGCTTTTTAAGGTGTAAATTTTTGTATGGATAATTGTTCATGGTAAGATTAACACATATGATATGCTTCAAAGAAGAAGACTTAAGATTTGTCTTTTATCACAATAGTGTATTATGTGCAAGAATGATGGTGTGAAAGTGTGGATAATTTTTTCTTACATTGCCCTGTTGCACTCTCGCTATGGAACAAATTGTTTATTAAGGTGAGTATCACTTGGGTGCCACCGAGAATTATGTGTTTTTATAATTGGATTGGATGTTATGTGGGCGGGAATCAAGATTCGAAATTTCGTTTTGAAGTACCGTTTCGGTCAGCCCGAAAACAGAAACGTTTCGAAAACGCAATGAAAACGTAAAAAAAATATGAAAACACGTGGAAACACAAATACAATCTATTTATTTGTAAAGATAAGCTTAATAATTGATTAATTGAACATGTTCATTGGGTTAATGTCCATTTATATAAGATAACATCAAGTTTGAAGAAAAAAAAGGGGTTTGACACGAGACGGAAATTACTTTAATTAGTTTTAAACAATTAATTTTTATAAAACAAACACATTTTTACATGTGTATATGACCATTTTAAATTAAATATAACATGTATAACACTTTTAAATTAAAATGAGTACAAATTTATTATTTGCACGTTATTATAATACTAAATTACTAATTTAAATTGTGTCATCAAATTACTAAATAATTATTTCATTAATATTAAAAATATTACATGAATAATTTTTACAAACATAAATACTTAATTTTAGATATTAAATATACCATAAAATTAATTGCAATTATTTTGATAAGTTAATTAACAATAATAAGTTATTTATTAATTATAAGGGCTATTAACAATTATAAAGGAAAAAATGGGGGACTGAAATGACATTTATGTTAATTGAAACAAAATAAAAAGGGTAAACAGTGAGTCAGTGACCCCTTCATTCCAATCGCGCAGACCACGGAGAGAGAGAGAGAGAGAGAAAGAGAAGATCAAGACTCCGATCGACTGTGAGAGAGAGAAGATTTGAGAGTCTGAGACTTCGATCGATGAAGACTCCAATCAAATAACAAAGGGAAGACAGATCGATGAAGACCCATCACTAGTCACCGGCAAAGAAAAAGAGAAAAGAAGAAAATTGTACCTGGAGGAGGTTGGATTTGGATGCGAGGACGACCCCTAGTAAGCCCCTAACTTATCTCCTTTCGATTTCTGAGCTTGTATCTTCTGTCTATCTCTCTTTTGTTTTGTTGGAGAAGTTGTCATAGGGGAAGAAGTTCTCCCCTTTTTGGCTGAAGGAGTCTGGAGTTTGGACACTGCAAGTCGAATCAAGTCCCTGTTTTGACCGAAACATTACTGTTTCGATCGAAACAGTCCGAAACAGTAACATTTCGCTCGAAACACTGGAATTTTATTTTTCCACCCTTGTTTCGTGTCGGTGTGTTGAAAATCTGAAATGTTTCAGACGTTTCAAACGCGTCGACACGATATTTCAATCCTTGGCGGGAATGAATAAGAGGTGGAGAACCCTGTGGGCCAGTGTTTTTTTTGCTATTATTTAGGTTATTTGGTTGGAAATGAACACAAAATTTTTAAGGACAAGGCAGAGAAGATTGAAGGTCTTTAGAAAAGAATATCTTTCTGCCTTCTTTTTGGACTTCTACGACTAAGAAGTTTGATAATGTCTTTTTTTGCATTATATCAAGTTGGACAATCGGAAGACCCAAACACACGTTTCTAGGCCTTTTTTGGGCTTTTAACAGTGTCTGTCATTACCGAAGGTTGTGAGTCTTGTAGGGCTCGTCGAGAGCTTCGATTTGATATATTATGGGCCCTATAACTCATCATCATCTGACTCGGATTCTCCTGCATCACTCTTGCGGATAGCAATTTTGTTTTTTTTTTTTTGGTGCTAATTTACCAATGTATTTCTGTTTCAGTGTGTCTTTGGTTGGGACAACTTGTCCACCCTTTTTCTTATTTTTAACAATAGTCTTATTTCCTATTAACAAAAAAAAAAAAGAAAAAAAAATAACAAACGTGTCCTGTAAATTAGAGTTCCCAAAAGTCAGTCACATAAAGTTTTCAGACTTGAACTGGATGCTGGGGATTTCATAGTTAAGGGGAAAGTTTTCTAAATTAGGAAGGTAGTTAATAGGAATATTGCTGAAATCCGTTAGGAAACTGTTAAATCGTGAGAGGCTTGTGGAATGTATTTCCAGTGTAAGGACATATCACAAAGTTCTTTGAACACATCTTCTTCTAAATATAGTATCGACGATGATTTATATATGAGTATGAGTGATACGTTGAAGTGTTTGTGGTAAGTATTAAGTTCGTCAAATGTGAAACCAACCATTCTTTAATTGATTTTTTGGAGAAAAACGAAGGATGTTAGGGAGGATTTTTATTTGAAAATTAGTATTTGGTGCTTGCCTGTGTAAGCTTGAGTGCATGAAAATAAATGCTTTACATTTGCAGTGTCAACTCCACGGTTGGATGCTGTGAAAAACGCTAAAAAATTAATATAATACTCGTAGAAGAATATTGTTATTGTGGAAGTTATTTGGTTATTTTAAATGCTGTATCAGTCTTATTGTTCACTATATGGAAGAAATTGTGGAAACCCTTGAGAGATTTGTGTATAATGTTGCCTTTTCAGTATAAACAAAATTTTTACCTCCATGCCTATATATGTTATCTTTATTGTGCAAAGGCTTGTAACATGCCTTGTTATTCGTTTTTTTTTTGTTTTTTGTTTTTTGGGGGTGGGGGTTTCCATATTAGTTACCCAGTTTCATTGATCTTTCTGTTACCCTGGTACTTGTAATATTGTTGGTCTTGGTAAGTCACTTGGTATAACTGCCCGCCCATTCAAATGGACGGAGATAAATAGACCCTGACTATCTCGTTGGCATGCGTAATTGCGAATATATTGTTTGCAATTCATGAGGTTAACATTATAAGACACGAGATTACATGTTCACAATTGGCTCTATGCTAAGAATGATGCAGTTGAAAATCTTCGATTTAANCGAATATATTGTTTGCAATTCATGAGGTTAACATTATAAGACACGAGATTACATGTTCACAATTGGCTCTATGCTAAGAATGATGCAGTTGAAAATCTTCGATTTAACAACGCTGGGGAAGTTGCATAAAGATGTGTGATTAGAATGCCTGGATGCAAAAAGAGAACAAAAACTATCAAATTACCCATGCAACCCTCTAGAAATATTTCTCGGAGATAATTTTATTTCCCAAAAGATTAAAGTTTCCGAATTTGTGTGATAATCCATGGATATACATATGATGTATGAATGTTTGGTGGTTCTTTAGAACTAATGCTATTTTGATTGCTGAGTAGTTGCACATCTAGAAAGATAATTTGTGAATGTGGGACAGCTTATTCAATCATAGTTTGTCATAAGCTTCCAAATTTTTATTTGCTTTTCCCAAATCTCTACCGTGCTTATGATTTGAACAAAAGTGAACTAGCTGGTGCTTGATTAGTTTAGCTAATTCAACACAGCAGAGAGTTGTTGAGTATCAAACAGTTTTAAAGTTTCGGATACTGTAAATTTTTTATGTTGAAATTTCTTGTTTTAAGTTTTGTGCTGAGATAGTGGTTGGTATCTTTTGTGCTATACAGCATAAACACAGTGTACTACATGGCACCTTTAGCTACAATGATCTTGGCTGGACCAGCTTTATTACTGGAAGGTTCTGGGGTTATGGAATGGTTTAACACTTGTCCCTCTCTCGGCTCGTCCCTTATAATTATTTTCAGCTCCGGAGTGTTGGCTTTCTGCCTTAACTTCTCTATCTTTTACGTGATTCACTCCACAACTGCAGTTACATTTAACGTAGCTGGAAATCTTAAGGTAAGATCAATATGTCAAACTGCATCCTTCATGCCTTTGGCTATTTACGTTGAAGTTACATGGTATAATTGGTGTTATCATCATTGTTGTGGTTGTGGTAATATGTTCTCACAATAATGTCCAAGGTTACCGAACTATAATTTTCTTATAATATAAGCCTACTTTTGATCTCATCACATATGAATTGTGCATGTGATCAACCCATGGATGTCGTAAATACTGCTGTTAGTTGCTGTGGCAGTTGCAATATTCCTCACCTGTTACAAATAATATGTGCTCAAATGCTGTTTCTTTTTACTATCCATGGCTTCTTGCACTCAGTTTTGCTTAGGAATTGTTAACTACTTTTGTATGGCATGTCCCTAATAATAAGCTATTTACTCATCTTTCCTGGGTTTCTGTGATTTGTGCAAGCATTGTTGTTTTGATCATTGAACTATTATATCATCGCTCACTCCAAATTTCTTGTTGTAATCTTTTTTCTACACAGGTTGCAGTCGCTGTTACTTGTTCATGGCTAATATTTCGAAATCCTATCTCCATTATGAATGCTGTTGGATGTGCTGTGACACTTGTGGGATGTACATTCTACGGGTATGTGAGGCACATGCTCGCGCAACAGCCTCCAGGAACTCCTCGTACACCCCGGACTCCACACAGCCGCATGGAGCTGCTTCCTCTTGTAAACGATAAATTGGAGGATAAGGTTTAGTACAGTAGTCATGCATGAGGTGTCTAGGCAGTTCGAAATATGATTGTAGGAGAAAATATATTGGAAAAAAAAAAAAGAGAAAAAAAACCCTCTGCTTCTTTGCTTCCTTTATTTATTAAAATAATTAATGCATGTTTATTTCCCTCTGCTAAAAAAATTACCTCAGGTTCTTATTTACCTTTTAGTGTCCAATAAAGTTATACCCTCATACAATTTTTTGCATCTCAGAAGTAAATAATCAACATTCTTCATGTTAAATACAAGTAACATTTATATAATAAAATAGCTTATAATTNCCTCATACAATTTTTTGCATCTCAGAAGTAAATAATCAACATTCTTCATGTTAAATACAAGTAACATTTATATAATAAAATAGCTTATAATTTAAATCTCAAAAGATAAATAAAATGATTTTTGCTATTCGCGGTTAAGATCATTTTAAATTTTATTTTAAAGTTAATCTAACGACTAATAGTAACATCTTAAATTTAATAGGAAAAATAAGTCCTATAAGGGTGTGTTTGAAATAACTTTTTAAAAGTATTTTTAAAAATTAATTCTCATAAGTACTTTTTAAAAGAAAATAATATTTGAAATCACTCCACCATTACATCTATCATCACCACCATCGTTGTCGCAAGCATCGTCGCCACTACCATCATTGCCACCGCCACCACCATTGTCGTCGCCACCATTGCCGCCGTTGTCGCTACCGTTGCCACTATCNTTGCCACCGCCACCACCATTGTCGTCGCCACCATTGCCGCCGTTGTCGCTACCGTTGCCACTATCATTGTCGTCGTCACCATCATTGTCGCCACCACCACTATTGCCACTGTCGCCATCGTCGCCTCCGTCGTCACCACCACCGTCGTCGTCCTCACCACCGTCACCACGGTTATTGCCATTCATCATAACCATCACTGTTTCCTACCACCGCCATTACCGCCCATCACCTCTCACTCCTACTACAACCGATGCTTAAATTCATTTATCTCTCCTCTATATTTGTGATTTGATTTTAAATATGAATACAAATATGTTTATTATTTACCATTTTTTATTACTCTGTGCCTTTAGACACTGACAATAACTAGTCTATATAATAAAATAACTTACAATTCAAATTTCAAAAGATAAACAAAATGATTTTTGTTATTCGCGGTTGAAATCGTTTTGAATTTTACTTTAAAGTTAATCTAACGGCTAATATTAACACCCTAAATTTAATAAGAAAAATAGGTTTTTAAGGGTTTGTTTGGAGTGATTTTTTTAAAAGTACTTCTAGAAATTATTTTTCATAAATACTTTAAAATAAAATGGTGTTTGAAATCGCGTCACTGCTGCCACCACCATTGTCGCCACCGCCACCATCACCGTCGTCGCCATCGTCGTCGTCGTCTTTGTCACCGCCACCACCACTGCCATCATCGTCATCGCCATTGCTGCCATCACTGCCACCCCCACCACCACGGCCATCACCCCTACCATTACAACCACAGCCACCGCTGCCGTCGTCACAGCCACCGTCATCGTCACCACACTTGCCCCCATCACCATCTTTGCCACCACAACTGCTGCCGCCAATACTACCTCTTCCATAGCCACCGCCTCCACCATTGCCCCTACCACCGCCACCACCACCACCACAACCACAACCACAACCACCCGTCGTCACCACCAACACCACCGTCACCACCGTTACCATCACCGTCACCGCCACCGCCGCCGCCACTGCCGCCGCCACTACCGTTGCTGCCATCGCCGCCACCACCACTGCTGTTGCTGCCACCACCACCGTTAGTACTACCACAACCACTATCACTGTTACCATTTTTTTATTAGTTTGTGCCTTCAGGCACAAGCAATAACTAGTTGTTGTATATGATGTGATGTCACCATGACATTAACAATTGTAATGTCATGCTTTCCATCTACAATTACCTCACTCAAACAATGAAAAATGCTATTGAGATTTAATTTATTGACTTAATTCACTATAACATTTAAATTTATTGTGGGTCTCATCGAATATTAAAATTTAGTGTTAATCAAATGGTTTTACTGAAAGTCATATTATTAGGTCAACAAATTAGATTCAATTTTTAGGCTCAAATAGTGTTTCTCCTTGAACAATAGGTTTAGGGTTGGACTAGTTTTTGGGGTAGTTTTAAAAAAATGGAAACATTTAGAGAGAGATGAAGAATTCTTTATAATTAGATGAAAGAACATTGGACTTAATTTATTAATTTTATTTGTTGATTTAATCATTCTCTACCATTCAATTGATAGTGGTTTCCACTATTGATGAGAAGTTGCAATCAATTTAATGATTATAATGTATTAAATCCAACAAATTAAGTTTAAATAATATTTTTCTTAAATTAATTTAGTTTACTTTTCCAATAATACATCTTTTTAGTGAAATTTTTGTCCTGGTCTCCTGGGGGTTTGTGAGCAGTTTTGTTTTGTTTCTTTGTGTGTGTTAGAGCGAGAGAGAGAGANGGGGGTTTGTGAGCAGTTTTGTTTTGTTTCTTTGTGTGTGTTAGAGCGAGAGAGAGAGAGAGAGAGAGAGAGAAGGGAGGGGGGGGATTCCATTTCGTTGATGCAACAGATAGAGTTAGTGTTAGAAGAGGGTGAGATTACAGACTAATAATTCCTAAAAATACTTGAGATTTAATATTAAAGTTTTCTACACATTATTTCTTTTCAATGTAATGAAAGTAGTGAGTAGACTAGACTAAGCCAAGAGCCAGAAGTTCTTCTGCCATCTTGTGCTAATAAGGTACCCACCAATGCCTTTGCTTTGCTTTCTCACCCCTATTGTCAAGCACTCTAGTGTGTTGATGCACTGTTCCACAAATTTCTCTGTGCTGTTCGGCCCACACAGGCTGCCAATAAAACCACCATGACAACATGATTTAGAGGATCAAGATTCAAGATGGCTTAGTTTGACTTTCTAGGAAAGTGAAATTAATACAACATAGAAAATTGAAGCTGGACTCACCAATTGATTAGTGGAGAGGGCTTCTTTTGGCCCAACACTAGCACTGATACCTCCAGCTTCTTCACTTGGCTCATTACTGTGACTAGCTTTGGCCCTTGTATCACTAATGCTTCAACTTCTACCTGCCCGGGTAAAACCCAATTTTACATTATAAAGACATAACTAAAAAGATGCATTCTATAAATTTCTCAATTTAAATGTGTCATCCTTGTATTTTGCTAAAATTCTATATACGATCTCAAGTTTTATTGGATGTTNCTCAATTTAAATGTGTCATCCTTGTATTTTGCTAAAATTCTATATACGATCTCAAGTTTTATTGGATGTTCCCAATGATACACAGAAAAGGGCATAACAAGCCCCTCATCACCCCCACCCAACTCAAAAAAGAAAAGAACACAATTCTTTGGGGCAGAGGAAACAGTGTGTCTAAGACACACAAAGATAAAAGAGTTTGAAAAATCTCCCTCTCCGGAGAAGAAAAGTAAAAAGTGAGAACAAAAATGTGGCAAATAATAATAATCATTCTTCTCTACAGAAGAGAAAAGGAAATCGCCTAAAAAAGAGNATTTTATTGGATGTTCCCAATGATACACAGAAAAGGGCATAATAAGCCCCTCATCACCCCCACCCAACTCAAAAAAGAAAAGAACACAATTCTTTGGGGCAGAGGAAACAGCGTGTCTAAGACACACAAAGATAAAAGAGTTTGAAAAATCTCCCTCTCCGGAGAAGAAAAGTAAAAAGTGAGAACAAAAATGTGGCAAATAATAATAATCATTCTTCTCTACAGAAGAGAAAAGGAAATCGCCTAAAAAAGAGTATCAAAACTAAGAGACCCAAAAAATTTCCCTCCCTCCCTCTCTCTCAAGGCACTGATTAAGTGTAAAGAGAAAAAGAAGAAAACCCAATGGATCTATCAAACACTTTTTTATTTTTTTAAAAGGGGTGTAACACAGGGACTTCCAGCAGGTCACCAATCCTAATATTATTCTCGTTCAAACACGCTTAACTGCGGAGTTCTGATAGAATTTGGTGTATTAGTACTGATATGATCGCACTCTATCAAACACTCTTTTTAACTCTCTCTTTCATATAGGAAAAAACGCAGGCATTGTACAGACGCACCTTAATGGTCCATCCATCAAAATAGAGATTAATGGAGAAACAATAATCTTATTCTGACCTAGTTTGCTTACTTAATTCACCAAAACCGTTAGATTGACAACACACCCCATTTAACATTGTGACATATCGTTGATCCAACGTCTGCAGTGAATCAAGTTAGTTAATCAAGTCCAACTAACATTATAGTTAGGCACAAAACACATCAGACCAGTATCCATGTTTATGGTAATAATACTTATCCGGGCTACACAGGTATTGTGGGATCTCAATAGATCTTATTCATATCTCTAAAACTCTAATCCATCATTCCCATAGAATCATGTATGTGCACATTTATATACATAGATGTTATTGAAGCACTAGTATTGGAGTAATTACACATACCTCAGGCTTACAAGCTTTACAAAGTGACCCAAGAGAGCTAGCAAGGTGAGGGGAACAAAAAGAGGAGGATTCAGAAGCTGTCGGAGAGTCAGAGCCCTTATGTGGAGGAGGTACAATGTGAAGAAGAGTGAGCAAATCACCCTCGTTGGTCACATGTGTGAGTGCCCACATCATTGCATGCTTGGAGTTTGATGACTGATCCACCACCACCATTACTCTCTTCTTCATCACCATCCCACCATTCTCATTTGCATACATTTTGAGCCCTTCCATTTGCTTCAAACTTGTCTCGTACCCTCCACCAAAGTCACCAGTACCACCTCCATTGAACTTGGTGTTACCACCCCACCTCTTTGATGTTGATTTACAAACTTCTTTCCCACTTAGCTGCCTCATAAATGAACCTGAACTTGGCATTTTCTTCCCACCCCCTTGTTGCCCTTCTCAATCTTCTTGATGAGAGAGATGGAAAATGTTTCAAGAGTATATGTTGTTATAGTGTGAAGGTCAAAGTTGGAGAGAGAGACAGAAAGACATGGGTAGATTTGGTAAAGGGGAAGTGGGTTTTTTTTAGTAAGAGAATTGCTGGTGTGTGTGTGTGTGTGAGAGAGAGAGAGAGAGACAGAGAGAGAAAGGGGTAGGAAGGAGAGATGTGGATAATAAAACAGCAATAGATTGAAAGGGCCATGGGTGGGGGAGCCTGGTGATCTAAAGTAATGATTTTAATATCTTCTGTGCAGGTGACAGTCACGGGAATCACTGGCAAGTGGTGGATTTACTATGAATTTATCAGTATAGTTTGTTTTGATGACGAGACGGTGGATTCTTTTGTACCCTCTCTAACATTTTATTAGTTTCTTTGCACCTTCCTCATGGTTTCTCTTGATCTCTACGATAAATTTGGTATGTGTGTGTACGAGATAAATGTACACATTTCGTGCATTTTTACTCAACAACTTTGCTATCCATGTTCGGTTTCGGTTAGGGGATCAAATTTTTATCCGAATTTAAATTTAATTAGTTTAATATAAATCATTTTTTAAATTTGAATCTAAATTTATTATAACTTATCATGTGGATTTGAATTTGAGAATANTGATATAAATACTTTTTTAAATCAATTATTTAAATTTGAATCTAAATTTATTATAACTTATCATGTGGATTTGAATTTGAGAATATAAATATCCGATCTCATCCAAATTACATATATGTACAAGAAACTATATATTTTGCTAACATGAACTTTATTTAAGCTATTCTGATTAGGTCGAATTTTTGAATTGCATTTTTTAATTAGAACAAATTCGAATAAAAACTACAAAAATAAAATTTATCAAATATTTAAATCTAAGTTGAATGAGAGCTCTAAAATGGAATTCAGATTTAAGTAANCCGAAATTTTGAATTGCATTTTTTAATTAGAACGAATTCGAATAAAAACTATAAAAATAAAATTTATCAAATATTTAAATCTAAGTTGAATGAGAGCTCTAAAATGGAATTCAGATTTAAGTAAAATTTCAATCNTCGAATTTTTGAATTGCATTTTTTAATTAGAACAAATTCGAATAAAAACTACAAAAATAAAATTTATCAAATATTTAAATCTAAGTTGAATGAGAGCTCTAAAATGGAATTCAGATTTAAGTAAAATTTCAATCTAGGAGTTGTCTATGGTACCGGAGAAAAAAAAATGTTACCATAGCAACTTTTATCACATTTATGAGTATTTTTACTATATTTGTGGATATTTCTATATTTGTGGTAGGGGTAAAAATATCTACAACAGTGATAAAAATAATCACAAATGTGATAAATCACCCACAAAAATGATAATTTTTTTGTACCGAATAAAAATGATAAAAATAATTACTATAACAGTGATAAAAATACTAAAAATGTGATAAATTATCCACAAAAATAATAAAATTTTTAATNCAACAGTGATAAAAATAATCACAAATGTGATAAATCACCCACAAAAATGATAAATTTTTTGTACCGAATAAAAATGATAAAAATAATTACTATAACAGTGATAAAAATACTAAAAATGTGATAAATTATCCACAAAAATAATAAAATTTTTAATTGTAAAATGACCCGTAAAAAAATTATAAGAATATCCATTAAAAAAATAAAATTTAAAGGTAATTGTACCTAAATTTTTTCTTCCGTACTATAATCAAGTCTTTCAATCTGAATTGAATATGATGTATTTATTTGCCTCCATTGTAGAGGGAGACAGAAACCTTTCATATGGTGATGTCAATTATGCACAACATCTTTATCAGGTGTCTCCCATGGGTGGAAAACCATATGATTACGGTCCAGCAGTACATGTCTCAATGGGAACCATCAAATTGTTAGGTAAAAGGAAGGACAGAAGATAATTGAAAAGGAGAAACAACCATACTAATATTGAGAAACGAAAATTGTCCTTTCTTACCCACAAAACTTTTTTATTTCTTACCTAAATTACTTACCCCAAGATGGTAACAGATCTCAACCTTTTTTTTTTTTAATGACGAAGAATTTCTACTTCTACGAGAGATGCCCTTTATTAGTAATTAAAAAAAATAATATTATTGTTTGGATAAAGTCATCGATCAAAATTGCTTAACAATGTACTACAATGGTGAGGCAAGGGATCAGAGGGAAGGGCCGGATAGTTATTGGGTAGACTCAATTTTAATAAAAGGAGTAAAGAGAAGGTAAGAAAGAGGAGTTGCTAGATCAGGCGATAGAAAAGAAAGATTAGTAAAAGCGCAAATTAAGAGCAAGTTTCAAAATCACACCAGACTCACCGTAAATTTAACAATAATAATAGATTTGATCTATAAATTTAGTCAATAAAATTTAGCCCAAAAATTGCATTACTTGGGGAATGAAAAAAGATTGGTACTAGTTGATTAGTAATTATCATTGCTATTTGTTGATAAAGCATTGAATGGCATATTCAAACTAGAAATCCAAAGTTCTTTCTTTGGGAGATCACAAAAAGTATTGAATTATACCTTACATCATTCAAAAAGTGTATGTCATTCGCCTATTGGTATTACTTAATGTTTTCATAGGAAAACATCCATAGAATCAGTAAACCAATCATCATTTGTCGGAATCTTCATTGTTGTTCACTTTGATCTTTTTACTCAATTACATAAACATTTTCTTACTTAATTGTGAACAAATCATAAGTCTATTGTCACCGCAATTATAAAATGTTGATACTATTCTAAAGTTAATGATGAGTCATAGATTTTAGTTTGATTGATTTTTACCCATTCTTTACCTATACTTAATATATAGCAAAATATAAATGACTTGGATGAGCTTTAAAACCCCATCGCAATTTTTCTCTTAAATTTTTTATTTATTAAATTTTCAAAATTAATTTGATTTTATGTCATTGGTCCTTTTTGAATAATTAATTTCTCATTACTAAGATAACTCCTAAAATTTGTCAACTATCTCAATTTTTTTTTCCTAAAATCATCTCTTCCTTTTCCCTTTCTCTCACACATACTCTCGCTCATCTAAATTTATATTTACTACATACTATAACAATCAATTTAAGAGATAGAGTCCTTATGAAACTTTCCCTTATCAAGTAATAGATTTTTTTTAATTATAAATAATTTAATAATAATGTATTGATCTCATCAAATAAAATGGCTTATATAACTACTTCCATAAAATTACTTGTTTTCATCTTTCTTAATTTAACACAATAATAGATAATTTTCTAAAAATACTAGGGTCGGGATCAGAGTGGAATGAGGGCTAACAATAGGGGGTGGTGGTGGAGATAATGATGGTTAAAAATACCGTGCATCGCACGGGACGTCACTAGCAAAGATATTGTTTAAATAATGGATCTTAAATAAATATTTTGAGCAACTTAAGGCTTAAATTAAAGTGAAACCTATAATTCGAAATTAATGGAACCAAGTTTAAATGCGTTCTTCTACTCGAAAAGATGAACATGATATATTTATTTGTTTAAAGTCATTAAACATTGAATGAGAAGTTGTTACAGTATTTTCAAAAATAAAAACTTTTTTGGGAGGTTATTTTTGAAAAATTCTTTGTGACTTTTGGGAGAAATTGAAAAAATGTGAAGTAAAGATGATATGAAAGATTACTATTTCAAAATCGACGAGTTCTAGTTAAAGATACCAATCCAAATGGTTATATCATTTCATAAAACCACAATTAACACATTTTAGTTAAAATGTACAATTATAAATAGTCATAACTTTTCATAAAAGTCACATTTGATATCTTTGGTTAAAAGATACCATTTCAAATAGTTGTACTTTTTCATAAAGTCACAATTGATATCCTTTGAACTAAGACACCATTACATATGATTGCATCCTTTATGAAAAATCACTAGTCAGTTTATAAATAGATGATGTCTTACACTCCCAAATCATACTATTCAATAATTCTTACTTCTTATTAGAATTTTTCTTTCATTCTACATTTCTCCATTATCACAATTTTGAATTCTGTATTTAGTATATTTTTTTTTTCTTTCT